CGCTCTCCCTCTCTTTCCAGCAGGCAATACATCCTGGCATCCAGCAGATGGGACTAGCGGAGAAGTATTTCCAGGCTGACCCGTCAGAGAGCTGCTCTCAGGAGGAGATGAGATGGAACAAGAAGTTTGACACCGCACCTGAGAGGGGAGAGGTGGGCAGGGAGCGGCTGATGGCCATCAGCGGGGGCTCGGGCCTCCTGCCTGCTTGGTAACTTTTTGTCCCGATTTTAACCAGCCTTAATGGATGAGTAGCTATAGTGATTGCTTAGCACATTAGCGAGCTCTAACCTGTAAAAAATTGCATTACATGGATGACCAAAATGGCTTGACAAAAGCAGCTGGGTTTCTTCCCTCCTCTCCTTGAAATCAAAAAGTGCTCTGTTCAAAATCGGCGTTCTGCCTGTCCATGCACAAGAGGAGAGCTGCATGGAAAATAGGAAATTAGCTGTACTAGAAGATCAACTTTTCTCTCCCTCTCCCCTTTTCTTTTAAAACACGGGCTTGCGACTTTGCAGTTTTGCAGCAAGCAATTAATAAACAAGGGGAGGGGGGGGAAATCCTTTGCATCACTGGGATGTGTTTCAAAGGGATAAAGTCACCTCGCTCAGGAGCTGCGGAAAGGAACAGTACGTTCAAGACAATCCTGTAACACAACAGCGCAGCGACACGTGAAAAATCTTTACCGTTAGGTCAGATCCAACGAGAATATTGCATCACTATGGAACAGGCGGGTGCCTGAGCGTAAAGGATTTCCTTATGGCCAAGTGCAACATGTTTTGCTTTGCGCAGAAGGACTTGATATTCAGAAAAAGCAGGCCAGGCATAAACGGTAACTACCGATCTATCATTGGAAATCATTTCAGCAATTACCTCACTGCACTCACAACGCAAAACTATATTTCCGAACGATACTTGTTTCTACGTCCATTACAATGAGTATGACTATAACCATGAGTTATTTGGCTAAAATCAGGTATTTCAAGGATTCATTCATGTTTACTGCCGAGAGCCTACATGTCTCATGTAAGTCACTTACTCAGAGCAAATTTAAACTACAAAAGAAAGTTTAAATGATCGTCTGGTTCATCAGATTATAAGATAAAGCACATATTCATCAGCACGTTTTGTCAGCCCTAAGTCTATTATTTCACTGGAGATTCACTGTTTAAAACTGGTATAATAGAACGATAATTACAGCACTATATCTTGGATTCTCAACATGTTTTCCATCTAACACTTCATTTTGTTCCTTTAGAAAGAAAAATCTAAAAGATTTTAAGCAGAAGCTTCACCTCTTGTACTCTGACCCAGTCCAACAGACTGACTGGATCGTGACGTGAAAATTAATCTCGATCAGCATATTGAAAGTACGTGTTGTGCCTGCCAAGTGACTTCAATAGAATTAAGAGAAAAGGAAATGCTAAAACTTAAGAGTGGGCAAGTGATCCTCAAGTAAATGACTTGCAGAAGGAAGGGTTATGCTCTGCTTGGCCCGGAGAATCTCTTCATCTCAGGAGAAAGGGAGGGAGTACAAATACACCAATAAGAAAGCAAACTTTAGGGTGGAGAAGTGACTAATCCCAAAGCATCTGATGAACAGTTTTTTTCCGTTTTTAAAAACCTTTCTTAATGAGCCTCTCACCAAGCATATTCTACTCATGAAGAGTCTTTCTGTAATTATTGCTCTCCATTGGAGCTGGGTACAGAGCAAATGGAAAGGCTTTAAGTAGCACATGCTCAAGGCAAAGAGCTGGAAATATATTTTACAAGAGTAGCAAGCCAGTTTTTCACCATATTTTTATTCACCCCCTGGCTCTCCTTTTCTCCAGACAGAAAAGCCAGACCCAGTGCATTTCCCTTGAGTCTTCCCCATGACATTATTAATAATAAAAATGTCTTTTCCACTGGATGGCTTCTACAGTATCTGCCATCCTTCTCTTTCCACTACCGCAGCAACTGGCGATTGCATTTCCTTTAGGTGAAAGCTGTCCTCACAATATCTGCTTTTCTATTATCCTAGTAATTGAACAGCAATCTGTCACTCACTCCAAAGGAGCGAAAAAGTGGTGAATGACATGTCGTGTCATTTTAGGCCAGCAAATGTAAATGATTTTGAGCCACATCAAAAGACAAATGGGAACATCTGTTTCTTTTCCCTGGCATGGTCGAAAAAAACAGGAGTTTGAGAATTACAGTAGCACCATACAAACAACATAAGCACATCAGACACTAAAATACCTACTTCTGGTCATATATTTTGCTTTCCCTTGCTAAGCAGACTACTGCCTGATAGGCGCTTGCTCTCTCCTTTTGGCCTTTTTCTTTGGGATCAGCAAGAAAAATCCCCCCACCTCCCCAATGATATATACCCTCATTTATATTTGGTAGAAAACAGGCTGAACAGTGATCAATCAGCACACTCAGCAAGCTGGCAAAGCAAGCGGCACTCCTAACTAAACTAGAAAACCGGATACTCTGCGAGTGCCTGCCCACTTTACGTTAAGGACAGGTATTTAGCATGCACACTGCCATGCCAGCTGCAGTAGCAGCCCCCAAACGAAGCAGATAATATGACAAGTAATAAGCAGGCAGTCAGACGAGAGAGGGCTGGGACAAGATCCCTATGAAAGTCCAGAGGACAGACTCTCAGCAGCAGCACCAGAGCAGATTTTTAGTATTCTTCCCATTTTCTCTGCCAGAGCCTAGAGGCACGTGGCTTTTTACATCTTTCACTGTTCTTGCGGCAAACATGGCAAGTAAAAAATATTAATAGCTTGCTGGCCTCCTGGCTCTTCCCATTTCAGAGCTGAGTAAGTGCCAGGTTCGCTCATACACCCACTCCTCTTCAGCAGTACCTTTCTTCACAAGCAGTCAGTGACATACTTGGAGCTAAGGCTAAAGTCAGCATTTCAAAAACTGGTGCAAAAGACATTTTCCAGAAGAAAACAGATTTGGAGATAATGTATTTTTAGTTAAAGGAAGAAATTCTGCATAACAAATACAAACTGGTCTGCTTCTACCTCTCCAACAAAGACGTTATTAATAATAAAATTGTTTTCACTACCAAGAAAGCCTACTGTACTTAATTCACCCGTAATGAGCCAAAAGAGCAAGGATCCTTCAACCAACCTTCTCCTTCCTGAAACAGAAATAAAAGAGAGAGAGGGCCAGCGTCTCAGCCTCACATCTTGTTTGTGTTCTCACCTATCTGTGTACGTACAACACACCTGAGCACCTGGTTTGACCCTGTTATATCCCCGCATGGCACTTGCCACACAAGTCTAGGTGCATCCGCCAGTTCTCCGGTGGTCAGCAACCACGCGCCTCTCCCGTGGTCTGGCCCACGAATCTCTCTCCAAGCTGGGTCATGCTTCTATGACAAATGCAAATGCAAACTAAGATCTGGCAGATAAGGGACGCCAGTTTTGAATTATCTTTTTTACAGCACAAAAATATCGCCACGGTAATCATACTAATGACGCGAAGGTCCTGCTAGGATAACAGGGAAACTAATTAATGAGAAAATTAAAAATATACGCCTTGATCTTACAGCTGTTACATTCTGCACACATGAGTAGATATGCTGACTTCAGTGAAACTCCTAATACGCGAGAAGAAAGCACACATATATCCATGTATACACTCAAGATCATACAGCCTGCAACCATTTTCAGACTATTCAAGTGGCAAAATGGTATCAGACATAAAACAAAAAGCACGTACACAC